CTTAGTAGGCCCATCAGAGGCTGGATGGTTTAAAGAGCTAAACACTGGTAGTTCGACCTGGGTTGGATTCAAACCGAGACGAGCGAGTTAGCTGCATGGTTGTTTTCTCCAGTGTAACGTGAAATAAGAGCTAGTTTTCTTCAGAAAGTCATCAACGAAGGCTTTCTTTCTCTTAGGCAGAATCTATCTTTATTAGGTCGAGAATATTCGCAAAATATTGCAATATATTCTTTGAAGTATATTATAATACACTTTATTTATGTTACTTGATATATATATATATATATATATATATATATATTCACTTTTACTCAAATTTATGGCTTTTTCTCTTTGCGATTTTCCTTTTTTGTAACTGCAAATTATTCTACTTTAACTTTATCACCTTTATCTCCAAAGTCTAAAAAGTAGAGTCACTTCGTTAGATTTTTAATTCTAACTTTTGTTTATAATTGAGGATATATATAAATTCATTAGGGTCTAAGTGCTTCAAAATTTTGCAGAAGACATTTGAAATTCGGAGACTTTACCCAAGAGAACATTAACCTGAAAAACTGGATGCGATCGGAAGTCCAAGAGAAATTAGAGTTGATCAAGCAATGGCTTAGTTAGGGCTTTTACCGTCCGAGACGGGTCCTGAATTTCCCACCCTTCTTGATATACAAATAACTAAAGAAAATGTCAAAATGACAGACGGAAATAAAATTTTTTGTTTTTAAGGAAAATTTAACTTCCAGCATTTTAAAATTACTTTATTGTTCTGCTTGTTTTTTGTTTTCAAAACCATGGATGACATCGTAGAGATCCACTTAATTGTCCTAGTTAACTGTAATGTAGACAATATAGAAAGATTTCTTAAATTCAAAATAAACATTTATTCTTATAGTTCTAAAATACACTTTAAATCTAAATATTTTATTATGGAAAAGTTTTCTCACAACCATCAGCGCTTTTAGCAGTTATGAAAAAAGTTCACAATAGTATAATAGTAATATACGGAACTTTGTTCTGGAGATTGTATTTTAGAATAAACTGCAAAAATTTAAAAGGATCTCCTTTCCAACGTTCTTGTATCGTTTTCCTTAGCAATAACAGAAATAAAGCTCTTGAAGTGCTTTTCCCATATTAAGGAATTCTCCCTTTATCACTTTGTTGATATTCGTAATGTTTTATTCATAAGTTTCGGCGGAATAAAAACGATATTACAAGGATGTGTAGCAATTACAATCTCGTGGTGATTTCGTTAAATATTTTACCTCCGGTAAAAACATTTATCCTTAATATAATTCGGTATGCAGTTCAGAATCGCATTCTTCTTTACGCGCCTCGACAATCCATGTGACTAACCCTTTTAAAATAATACCTTCCCCAAAAATATGCCATCGGGGACGAACAGCTCCTTCCGCCTCTCGGACAGCAGCGGAAGAAATTCTCACTTCGTCAGTAGAGGTGATGAGCTCTAAATATGGATGACGCATTTTAGTCTGAATTAACAGTTGTTTTATCAAATATTGAATATGGGTTTAAAAAATCACCCGAAGACTAAATCATGTACCACGGGATTATAAGAAAAAGTGGTAAAATTGTGGTGTATATTCCTTGATATAGTAAAAGCATTTCAAGCGTTTAAAAATCGAAATGTAGTTTGAGATGTGTTCAGAATAAAATTAAGTAGTTGAAAATTTAAAGGCTTTTATTTTAAAAGAAGACTTTTTATAAGAAACGGTTCTTGCTCTCGTTTCTCGTGTGGAAAAGCATGAAAACTTCCTCCGGACTATTACCCTCCCCATGATTTTACCACATCTCCAGCTAATTGTGGGGCCCAATAGCCGCTGAGTGATACAGTCTCTGAACATTTGCAGTTCGATCCGAGTTTCGAATCTTGCGAACGGGCTGGCTAGCGTTATCTTGTTTTCCCCAAGTGTAACATGTACACAAGCCAGTTTCCTTTAAAAGTCCTCCACGAAGGCGTCCTTCCCTTTAGGCAGATAGCCCTTGAGTGCTTTGCCATAATCAAACCAACCAACTAGTTGGGTTCAGCAGCTGATGGTCTTGAGTTTTTGAAAATTTTGTAACCCAATTCAGCTCGATAACTGGAAATGTAAAGCAGATTACCACTTTGAGCACTTTTTTATTGCAGGCCGATCACCTCTGCTATACATTCAGACCGTAAATCAGCGTATTTATTACATAAAGTAATAGTGTTCGTAACGAGCTGTCTAAAAATAGAAACATCCTTATGCAGGAAAATGATTTCTAGGATTTCTTGTATCTGATCTAAGTTCTGAAGGATTAAATTTCCATCAGTCCTATTAAACCTCTTATTTAAAAAATAAAAAAAGGGGAAAGGCTTCTTATCAGTCAAAATGATTACTTTCTCTTTTTCCTCTTTCATTATTTTATATTTGAGTCGATCAACTATTTTCCAAATTTCCAAACCTAAATTTTTAAAATTTTGAAATTTGTCAAAAAATGCTGTGTCAGTAAATTTCGTTTGTTTTTTAAGATTTCTAACTGAGTAGCTATGGGTTATAAGCAGCTAAGTTTTTTACGATCTATTTCTAGATGGATATTTTCATATATGTAATATATATATACATTCGGAAAAAGTGTTTAAGATTGGAAGACCTACCTTGTTAGAATACAGCCCTCACGCGCTTTACCATATTTCAGTAACGAAAGCGTACCTAGCTATTCATTTAAGAATTAGGATTTACATAGAGACGATAGTCTTCAAGTTAATGTAAGCATATTCTGAAAAATATTGCCAAATGAGAAATAATTTATTAAAAATTTGATAAAATCTCATTTTTATAAATTTTTGTATTTGTCTCTTTTTCAGTGCTGTTATTCTGATTTTAATTTTATTAATATTATTGTCAAACCAACCGTATGATATGGCAAGAGCAATTTTAGTGACCTACTTCGAGGGACGTTCAAACATAAAAGGAAATTTCTTGCTCCTTTCTGTAAGGAATTCAAAGTAATTATGATTCGCTTAACAAATATTGGGTCGGTGCGTAAGTCCGTTCTTCATTGGGTTGAGAACACTGCATTGTTAAACCTTCGTTTTTCGTTAATCAGTTGCTTCACTTCTGCCTGGAGTTTGACCGTTGTTAACAGTTCATTTTGACCTTTTTCAACGCTTACTAGCATGGAGTGTCAAGTAGAGTAAAATGAACTCTTCCAACACATTTATCGCCTTTCTCATTACCGCCTTTTCCGGTCTCTCTCTCTCTTACAACATTCTGGGACAAAAGCTCATGGTGTTCAAAGTTCTCTAACTGGATAACAGATTTCTTCATTTCGAACCCACATCCTTTCTACAGTACGTGCATTGAACTCTTACCTAAGCGGTGGCAAGCCGTCATTATCCAAGATGTTGATTACTTCATTGAATGAATGAGTGAGGTATTATTGATTTATAAAGAAGCGAATGAATGTCTTTTTGTAGCCCAGTGGAGAATGGAATGGACTTATGCATCTACCGTGTTGAACTTGTCAACAGTAGTGCTAGTTTCTCTTTTTCTCACCTGTATTAGTTGTAATCTATATGTGGGGATAACAGGCCATAGAATGTAGCGGGTAGAATTTTGGTTATGTTTTGAAAAAGTGTTGCTGGTTTTCAGATATAAACATAATTTTGGAGACCTCTCAATCTAGAATTATGATTGTTGTCTTTTATAGGGGCAAGTTTAGATTTGAAGTAAAACCAAATGCTCATTGACTAAAACTCTCAACCGAAGAAGACAAACCGGTTGTCACTGATGCATTAATCCTTTGGCCGCGGGTACAAAATTCATAAAAGCGCAGAAAGAAATTCATACCCTTTGTTCTTGCAAAACCGATCGCAGCGAAAATCCAAGTTCCAATAAGAACATCCCTGCGTATATTCAGGACAAAATTAGATCACATTAATCACGGATCTTGCGTTTGGAGGGTTAAGCGGATCGATCGAAGAACCAGTGTTAGATACATTGCTAAGGAGCTTAAGTGTTAGCTGCGAAACATTAGTTCAAGATTGTTTTAAATTTAATGAGGTGAAGGCTAAACAGGTGTCACGTATTTTGATGCCTAAAACAAGAATGATTAGTTTCAATCAACAGCTCAAATAGATTTCCCTATATAACCCTCAGGAAATAGTCCAGACTTACCACCATTTGGCTTTCATCTTTTCAGTCTACTTGAAGTTTTAGGAAAGAGGAAATTCAAATCTGTTGAGGAAACTATTGACGTCGTACAAGAACGGGTCAATCCAGCAGTTAACACGTTGAGCGCCACGTCAGCCATTTGTGGCTGACTTTCCGTTTAGGCCGCGTCAGCCATCTGTGGCTGGCACTAGATTTTCCGTTTAGGCCGCCATTTTCGGGTCATGCCATTCTCCAACAATCTCCTCCTCGTCGTCAGAAGATGATAAAAATACATTCTCTCTGGGCAGTTTTCTAGCAAGAATAATTTCATTGCTGCTATCTGTTCTCTCGAACTGACATTTTGACGCTTAAAGAAAATTTTTGTCTGCACGGGGCCAAGAACTGCAATGAACTGGTTTGTTGTAAAGAGAACACCGGCCACGAATCTATTTCGATAAAATGTTATCTAGTTGGCCAAACAAAGAAAACAGATTTGGCGCATAACGTATTGAATGGATGCCTATAGAAATCACGTTCTAAACGTAAACTATCTTCTACTGCTATAAAAAACACTGGCCCTACAATACGAGCGCTTTTAAGCGGCGCGCGTGGCCTGAACGGGATTGCCTAAGAAATACGCGTGCGCTTAACGTGTTAAGGCTTTTATTTTCCGAAATTATAAAATTTGTTGAGGGTGGAATAAGAGTGTTACAACTGCAGTTCGCTATACAGAAAAATGTAGAGTTAAGGCGTTTCACTGCGTTCAATAAAATGTTTAGCTGATGAATATCTTTGAACGTCCTTCGTATATGTAGTGGTCTTAGAGCTCGGTTTTGGAAAGGCATTAATAAGTTTATTTTATACTTGCAGGTATATTTACTTAGGATCTGTGCAACTAAATGAATGGCTTGCTATCATGAAACTCTTGGAGCTATCACACCAGTACAGAGTGCAGCCATTGGTTAATATTTGCGAAATAGCTCTTATTGCTCGGCTTGGTTTCTCTAACGCTTGCACGCTATATGAATTATCTCAAACATATGCATTAGATAATTTGAAATCGGAAAGCGAGATTCTGATTTTAGATGGTGCATTCGTTGTCTCAACCACAGAGGATTTCTACAGTTTGAAAGAAAAGAGCATGGAACGTATATTGAAGCACAGGTGGTTTAACATGGAGAACGAGGGGTCTGTTCTGTCGTGCTTGAAAGAATGGGCAACTAATGAATGCTGTCGCAGGTAATTTTCTTGCCTTAAAGCATAATTACTAAATATTATTTTCCGAATCTGTACCGGTTTCTTTTAACAGAATGCTCATTACCATTTCAAGTTCAATACCAGATTCCATGATATATTTCATTAGTGTATTCCCCGTCATCTGCCAATACACCAACAATTCGCTAGTACCTTATGGTGGAACTATATTGGGTTATTACAAATGAAATGGCTATTGAATCTGGTTTCTTCTGGTTTCAGAGAAAGCAAACATTGATGTTAATACAAATTTCTTATGCCATGATACATTACTGGTTGTACAGAAAGCAGACGCCGAGGTCCATATAAATTTTTTGCGTCATGATACAGTGTCATACTTGGGCGATTAAACTCTATTTGTTCAACAAGCATTGGACATTGAATAATAACGACATCACAGTCAGTCCTTGAACTCGGAAAATTAAGGTGGCTTTATCTCTTAAGTGTTCAAACTGGCGAATTCTGCAGCGGTTGAGCTAAAAATAAATATATGAACTGACAAAGCATTTGGTGGGAGATGAATTACTGAAAATCCAATTACTTTCTGTTTGAAAATTTCGCTCACGAAATGGAAGGTTACAAAACGAAATCTGTGGTTATCATCCTTTTTTCACTGATTCGATTGAATAACAGGATTTCATCGAATCGGATCGAAATTACAAGATGTCATCTAGACCTATTTGTGCACTTTCAAACTGTTTCATTGCACTTGACAAAACAGCAAAAATAGGAAAGCTCGTATATGAGTGCTTTAAGAAATCACTTAAAATAAATCACGGCATTAAGAAATTTGATATTTATATAAAATATGTAAATTTGACTCCTGAAGAAGTAAAAATTTTGCAAGACTGGCAGCGAATGGATACTGTATGGCAAGTCCACGATCAGCGCAACGTTGCGAAATGGTACTTCAGGAAAAGGCTCCTAAAATGTAATTGCATCCAAAAAAATACTGTTTGCAGTATGCTGGTTTTGTCTTTTGTTATTCATCATTCTTTCCACGAGGCGAAGCGAAAATGCAGTTGTATATCGTGTGGATACGATGCAGTTCCTCCCTTAAACAACCAGCACTTCTGAAAAACATAGAATCCTATTGCTTTAACACATGCGGCAGGTTCAACTATATACAGTACCGTAAACCATACTGCAAATCGAGAATTCAGGATACGAAAATAGATCTCTTTCATCATGCTCTTCTGAGATGTTCCCAAGAGAAAACAATTTTTTGTTTCAGTTCTTCAGTCATTTTTTACCCAAAAATTGCTTTGCCCAAATGTATCAACTTGATGAGCAATGAAGGATTTCATCTTTAGCAAATGCACTTGAATTTCATGAATGTAGTATAAATGAGTTTTTTGCCCATTGACAAAAGTGCATTGATGCCGCTGGAGATTATTGTCTCCACCTGCATATGAATTCTGTTAAATAAAAAGATAATGGCTTCTCTCAATACCAGTTCGTAGTTCATATTCTAACACTTTGGCGGTTACTATAGATATTGCATTTAAATCATGTATAGTTTCATTACATTAGCAATGGAACACTTGTTAAACTTTAAGAAAATATGATACACTTCGAAATACTGTATTATTTCTAGCAGTAAATATTGTAAGCACCGATAGATGACGCTGTAAGAAAGGTGCCGTTGGAAGGCGCAAAATTGAAGTGCCAGACAGAAGCGTGCGAACGAATGTAAGGCGATCTGATGATTCCTCAGTATACAGCTGCATGTAAATATGTAAATAGTTCGTTAATAAACCTAGTTTAACAATAAATTGAGCCATTCTGATGAGTAATGCTAGGTCACCAGCTAACAATACAATATTAACACGAGAAGAATAAATATCTCAAGAATTTTTGCAAAGAGAAGACTGCCAAACGATATGGAGCAATGTAGATCTGCACTTGATCTGATTAAGCAGAAGTTGACTTCGAAATAAAAAAGGCGGCGTCTCCATCCCCCCAAAAGAATACGTTAACAGAGGAGGATCGTGTTTCTAGAAAATCCATAATGGCCTCTAGGGTTGCCAAATTCTCAGTTTATTATTTAAACGATGTATTAGCAGGTACCGGTAATGCAGATAGAAAATTTATATATTTGAAACTGAAACCTATTTATTTAATAAACCATTATTCGACCCGCTTATTTTTTTGAGTTTCGTAAAAAGGCTTTACTCGATTTCTAATGTTTTCTTGGCTGTCCAGTTTTACCAGAAGCTATGTTAAGAATTCAAGAATATAGACAAGGGATAGGCAAACAACGGCCCGCGGCCAAACTACGGTCCACTTGAAGGTTTTATCTGGCCCGAGAATATAATTTTAATTGCCGGTCCGGGGCAGATTAAAGAAATATATGTTTATATATTATATATCCATCTTCTTTTCTACTTTGTTTAAATATTTTTTCTTCCTTTTTTTTTTCAAAGGACTGATGATCTTTTTACGCTTTATTTTACAAAACATAAATTGTCGTAAATGGCAAACACAGACAGCTTTCAATCGGTAAAGTGTTAAAAGCGGAAGTTCGTTGCTTGCTATAGCTGTACATTGGCCCCAACAAGGGTTATCTCTTTCTCGGGGAGCAGACATATGGGAATCCAATATAGGTGAATTAGACCTCTTAGAAAAAAAACTGAATCTTAGGAGAAACTTATTTTAACTTAAAACTTAAATATGTTTGCTGGACATCTAGCTAAGAATGACTTGTCTCATTTCCCGAGGTTAAATTCACTACCCTCAATAAATGAAGAGAAGCTTAAGAATTATGAAGATGACTTGAGAAAACTGCATTTTGATTTCGAATGAATATTTCAAGATTTCACTGCCATTCAGACAGATTTGGATATTTTCACCATGCCTTTCAACGTAAATTATGAAGCTGTGAGTTCAGATTTACAGCTTGAATTAATTGAGTTGCAATCTAATAATCATTTCAAGGAGTTGTTTCTAAATATTCCAAAGTTAGTTTTACAAATCATTATCGAAAGTAAGTTTCCAAAATTTAATGTCTGACACCCAGAAAATCAGTTTTATATTTTCTTTATCTTTTTATATGTTGGCAAGTGTTTTCAGCTATAAACTTTAAAAAGAATTATTTCAGAAATATATACCGACAGATGAGCATTTAGCCTCGTTCCTTAGAATCAGTACATCTCACTTCGAACCTCAATATAAGAATTTTTAAAAATGAAATCGCAATCTCATTACCATATTTAAATTGTAATACTTGTATCTTGTTTTTAAAACTTTTGAAAAATTTATCTTGTCTGGCCAACCTTTTTTTCTTTTTTCTTAATTTTTGACCCGCGACCGAAACCTTTTGCCCTTCTTTGGTATAGATCATATCATGTCCATTAATGATAGGATGTTATGATTGATGGATCAATGTCCATTATTGATTTGAAAATAGGATCCCATAGCTCGGAAAATAATCCACTGCTTACTACTGTGTAGAAGGCAGATCTAACATTTCTTTCAGTTTGATAGAAAAAATGTAGCACGAACAGTTAATTTATATTATTGTTCATAAAAAGGAAAGGGTTGCTTAGAGAGGTTACATCAAACGAAAGTGCAGATGTTTGAGTGTGCGGTTACATTACACTTATCCATACGGCGTCAAATCATGGTTTTTGGTGACAGCTTCACGGTCGATGGAATAATACGTAAGTAATATTTAAGCTTCATTTATTCTGACTGCTTAAACATTAACTTGCGTTATATAGTATGATACAATTAACTAATTGTTGCTTTTTAATTTTGTTTTAAATTGGAATTATTTTACTGCTTATGGTTTAATCACAATGTTTATTATTCTGCACACTCAATAAACGTTTCTTTTTTCCAGGGAGGATAACTTTTTACTCAGTGGAAAAATATGTAACGATCTGCTTAAAATTTGTAATTCATAGGTTTTTCTTCTGCAGGTTATTAATTTTAGTAAATGTAATAAATTATTACATTATAATAAGAGTACTCCAAGTTTCGTTTCCCTTCAGAGAGGCCATATAAGTGCTAAGTTTCATCCACCCTTCTAAAATATATCACGTGACCAAACATTTTCCTGAAAACATACAGCCTACCAAATGCCAAGCGGTTAAATTTCTGAACACTGGTAGCTCGTCCCCGGTTCAAATCCCGGTGAAAGAACTGGCTCTGTGGATTTTTCCGTTTTCTCTCGTTTGTAATGCAAACAGTATCTAGTTTCCTGTAAAATTTCCTCTACGAAGGCATTCCACTCTTTAAGCAGATAGCTCTTCGAATACTTTGCAGTAATTAAATTTTTCCAATTTATAATTTAAAAGCCCACTAATAATCGTGTGGTAAAGTGGCTGAACGATAGTAGTCTACTTAGGTTCGAATCCCGGGGAACGGAATAGCTGTAACGGCTTCCTACCAGATGGTTATTTTTTACCGATTTTTGACGAGCTCATTTTATCAGTTATTTTTACCCAGCATAGTACCAAATCTCAGAAGTTATTTTCTTTAAGCTTCAAGTTTAGCCAAATCTTTGAAATCTGTTACTATTTTCAAAATTGCTGTTAAAATTGATTTTTTGTTTATATCTCACATAATTAAGGAATACCCTATTCTTGTTCGATCAGGGATAGTGCCTTCGCTCCAGGTACGTCCTAGTCCGGTGGAATAGCTGTAGAGCATTTTAGTGATGTGCCCACATTCAGCGTGGATACAAGTCGGTTTACCTTAAAAATGCTTCATGAACACTTCCAACCACTTAAGCAGATAACCCTTACTTGCTTTGCCAAAATCAAATCTAATCAAATTAAATCAAACCTGGAAACTTACATTATTTAATGGATTATTAATTATTGGAGCCATGAGTTTACGGCCAATTATTGACGAGAACCCTTTTGAAATATTCTGTGTTTACTACTTTCAAAGAAGTTTTAAGGCTAATTACTGGCTCATTTAGAATAGTTCTTTGTTTTTTAAAATTATTTTTGTATGCAATAAGTACAATATACAATAACTGACTCAGTAATTGTTCAGTAATTGTCAATGACGTAACATGTTCATCGGAGTAATAAATTTAATTTCACCTTTTTGTAGATGCATGAAGCTAACTCGTGAGAATATCCTTTCGGTGATGGAGCCGTTTCTTAAGTACATTATTTGGAGAAACATACCGCACAATGAACGAACGTTTGTTCCGATTCACTTAGTGGAAAAATACAGTGATATTGGACGATTCAGAAAATATTTCAGATTTCCAGCCAGTCTTCGAACTCGTATTAAAGCCTTGAAATTCATCGTAGAACTTGGAGCGTTTCACACGGAACCAAACTGTCGCTTAGGACAAATTGAATGTCTGAAATTTAATGTTGAAAGTCACGTTTTTATTGCTGGCTTTAAGATAGTTGGCATGTTTCAGATGGATATTTCTTTTTTTGGTAAGTATGTCTCTTAGAATATTATATGTATACTTAATTTTTATTTATATGGTATCGTTGCATGATGACAGAGCTAAGAATGAAGATGTAGTAGAAATAATGGCCGATGTCTATGCTCCTCTAGCAGAAATAATGGTCGAATTCTTTGTAAACGTTTTGGGATAACTTTTTACTCCCTATATAATATAAATATTCTGCTCAAATATGTAACGATCTGCTCCAAATTCTTAATTCATAAGTTTTTTTTTCTTCTGCAGGTAAACTATAGTAAATGTACTAAACTATTACATTATAGTACTACTGCAAGTTGCGTTTCCCTCCAGAGAGGTGGTATAAATGCTGAGTTTTTTTTCTCTCTAAAATATATCACGTGACCAAACATTGTCCTGAACAGCTACCGCCCACTAATGCCAAGTGGTAAAATCTCTGAACACTGGTAACTCGTCCCGGGTTCAAATTCCGGTGAAAGGACTGGCTCTGTAGATGTCTCCGCTTCTCTCATTTGTGATCTAAATAGTATCCATTTTCCACTAAAATTTCCTCTACGAAGGCATCCCACTCTTTAAGCAGATGGTTCTTGCATATTTTGCAGTAATTCAATTCTTCCAATCCAGTAATTTTGAAGGCCAGTAATTACGGAATCCAGTAATCCAGTAAATCAATTACGGAATCCAGTAATTACAGAAGCGGATGCAGACAGCTAAACCGGCGAAAATATTCTTTCTCATTACGCTCTTTATTTTAAAAAAGAAAAAAAAATTCTAGTTGGACAGTTTCTAAAATGTGTGCTAAATATGAACGAAGTGATGTTTCTGATGGTAGTTCAAAGGCGGTTTGAGAAGTTTACTCATGGAAATTTCCGCCTTGAATATGATGACCGCTCTGGACGGCCATGCTTTGAAAACAAGGAGCTATTAAAAGATTAAAAGAATCAAACGCTGAAAATCTCCCCTATACAGTTAAGGAACTATCAGACAGACCAAATATTTTTAAAAATACGGTTCGTTAATATTTAACAAGTTTTTGATATGTAAGCTGTTTCGATGAATGCCCTATATTTTAAAAAACAGAATAAGCTTAGTTCGAGTTTCGCCATGTGATTATTTGATGAAAACAATAAAGCTTACGTTTTGAAGTGTATCCTTACTGGAGATGAAAAGTGGATATTAGACAATAAAATTACAAGATCATGGGGTAAGCCAAAAGAGCCTCCGTTAGTAACATCGAGAGGGGGTATTTGTGTGGTCGTACTGTAAGGGAATTTCACACTATGAATTTTTGTCACCAAATCGGACTATAAATTCGGAAAATTACTTTTCCTAAATAGCAGTTTTAAAAGCAGAAATTGAAGCAAAATGCTCGACACTGTAAAATTATCGACGTGCTGTCTTCCATCATGCCAGTGCTTGACCCACACTTTTCGGTGAATATCAGACTTATTGAATATGACTGGGATGGTTTGTGCCTTCTTCATATTCGTCCCTGAAGGACTATTTTCGTTTTGTGATTTTGCGTTGGTTTACTATAAATGTCCGTTTTACTTTTCAAACTGTTGCCACCAAAATGTTAGTCCTGCATTATATTTGAAGAAATTAAATAATGAAAAATCTGCATAAAGTGTATGTATATTTCTCGCATTGTAATAAAACAACGGTAAATAGAGCCATTGAATTTTGAATGACGTAATCCTACTGCGAATATGAGCACCTGAAAGCCCAAATTTGTTTTATTATCGATTTCACATTTTGTAAAACCTTAAGGGGTAGCAGAAACCCCTATACCGACAACGTTAAATTTGCCATTTTCGATGTACCTTTTCTCAAAATCTTGCTGTAGATACAAGCTTGAAACTTTTTCTGTAATGAAAGTATACCTATCTGATTATACTGAAATGAGCTTCTGAAACATTTTGAATTTTAGAGTAAATTACAGGATATTTTGTTAGGCATAGTAAAATTTAGCACTTTTCGCACACAAAAAAAATTTTAAATTTTTTTTCCAAGTTTATTACAAAAAGCTCATTTCGGTAAATATTAGGGAACCTAATAAATAAGCCATAAAAAGTTTAGATACCTGTGAGCAGTAGTTCCTGAGAAAAGGTACATCGAGTATAAAAAAAAATCACGTTTGGAGAAAAACGCGTTTTTATATAAAAATCCTCATTGATCAAAGCAGTAGATGACAAATTAAAACTAGATTTTTTTACAGTTCTAATTTTCATAGAGATTAAAGAATGGTATTTTTAGAAAGATAAAAGTGTAGAAAATTTGAAAATGCAAAAAAAAAAAAAAAAAAGGAATCACAATTTTTTGAAGATTTTGGAGTTCCAACTCCCCTTAACGAATTTTCGATTAACGAACTCGAGGATTTCAAAGCGAGCAATGGCCACGTTGTACAAAAACATTATTTCCTGCGCATGAGACTGCGTATCGGACGTTCTAAAGATATGCTCAATTTAAAATTATTTTGCGATATTGCTCTTGAACTGAATTTTATGGTTGTAAGTGCGAAGAACGTGATATTTAATAAATGAAAGTAAAAGACAAAATGTTAAAGCCCCTTTGGACAATTTAAAATCTGAAGAATCTAAATTTTTTATCTTTTTTTTTTTCCTTTTAATTACGTGTTCCGCCATTAATCATTACAAGGAGAGGGAGGACTTTTAAAGGGAAAGTGGCTCGCATACACATTTCGCATGTGGAAAACTACGAAAACGCCCATGCAGCCAGCCCGTTTGCCGGTACTCGAATCCCGGACCGAGAAACCAGTATTCAGTGATGTGGCCACTGGTTGGATATTCGAGCTGCTTTGGGTTCAAACCTAGACGACCGAGTGGCTGAACTGTTTTTGTGGTTGCCCTATGTGAATTTTGTTTTAGTGGTCCCCCCCCCATGTGCAACTTGAATACGAACCAGTTTCTCTCAGTCATCCACGAAGACATTCTCCCTCTTAATCACATAGCCTGCGTGGCTTTACCATACTCAACTAACCTAACCTATGAACGTGTAGTGGCAAATGCATAATTTTCTAGTGAAGGGATATTTAACATTAATAACAAGGGATTTGGGATCTCGTGTCAATGAGAAAGTTGTGGCGATTTCTCGCATCTCATACGCATTCAGATTTAAGAATTCTGACAGTATATTGAGCACGCTGTCCGATGGATCAGCTAATTATTAATGATAAACATCTTGCAAATCGTTAACTATACCTTTCCTTCTAGATGTTTATTATACGCATGTTACTTAAATTTTCTCAGAAAATGCCCTGCTGGCGTTTGGTGACTAAGAAGGGTATCAGAACATAGTAGGGTGTTGTCAGCATGCAGAAAATACAATTATACTTCAAGCACCGAATTATACTTCTACCAGTATTATGTACACTGATCCCCCCCCAAAAAAAAGAAACTGTGAAAGGTTCAAAATTTTAAATTACGTCCAAAGGGGCGTTTTTTTAACATTTTGTCTTACCTTTATTTGTTAAATATCATGTTCTTCGCACTTAAACCATAAAATTCAGTTCAAGGACAATATCGCAAAATTTTAAATTGAGCATATCTTTAGAATTTCCGATACAGTCTCACGCGCTGGAGATAAAAATGTTTTTTTCTGTACAATGTTGCCATTGCTCGCTTTGAAATAATTGAGCTTGTTAATCAAAAATTCGTTGAAGTTTTATAAAATATGAAATCGATAATAAAACAAATTCCAAATTTAAAATTTGGTCTTCCACATGCCCATATTCGCAGTAGGATTACGTCATTCAAAATTCGATGGCTCTTGGTACCGTTGTTTTATCACAATGCGAGAAATATACATTTATGCAGATTCATTATTTAATTTCTTCAAATATAATACAGGGCGATAATATTTGGTGGCAATAGTTTGAAAAGTGAAACAGACATTCAGAGTGACCCGACGCAAAATCGCCAAACGAAAACAATAGTCCCTCAGGGAAAAAAAAAGGGGGTTCTCTATCTCCCGTTCTACTGGGCCGCTTGACGAAATTCAACTTGCGTTTTTCAGGTTTCGAAAGCACGACTTAGGATATGTATTAGATTTCTGTATAGGGTTCTTTTAATATAGGTATTTTGACACAAAAATCGGACCTTTTTCTGAAATGGCATGCCCATTTTTTTCTCCATATTTCGATTCTACGACTCAAATAATGCCGAACTGCTAAGTTTTGTAAATCAAAATTTAGCCTTAATCCAAATATAATTCGTACATTTTCATTTATTTTTAAATAAAAACTTTTGAATTATAACCCATAAAATGTTTAACATTATCTTAAATTAGATGTATTTCTAAGCACAGCAGTAAAAAATTAGTTTTTATTCAAAATTTCCAAAAATATGCTTGAATTTGTATATTGGCACGTTTTGACTTGTGTTCAAGGAAAAGAGGTAGTTATAAATTAAGTTTACAAAGTGAATTATTCTTGGCGAAAACTGAAAAAAAAAAAAAAAAAAAAAAAAAAAATTCGCCAAGATACATTTTTGAATTGCTCCGTAATTTTCGCATCAAATTTTACAAAATTTAATATTTAGGCATAATTTGAGTCGCAGAATCATAATATGCAAAAAAATTGGTATGCCTTTCCAGAAAAAGTGTAGACATTTTGACACAAAATCCGTCTAGAACAATGTTGTATATAAATCTAATGTATATCCTATGACCCGTTTTCGAGACAGGAAAAACTCAATTTGAGTTTCGTCAATTGTTCCAGTAGAACGGAAGATATAGAACTGTCCCTCATTTTGTTTTCAGTTTAAAAATTAGTGGTGTCGAAGATTGCCAAAAATCTTCTGAATGCTGGGGATCATTTTCCAATAATTGGTAAATCAAAATGCCGCTGGGCTCGTTATACACAAATGAACATAGAGAAAATAACAAATATAAGTTGCCCAATATGTAATGTTGGGTTATGCAAAGAATGCTTTCCTGTACCATACGATGTAAAAATCTATTTTAAATAATAGTTTACCAGAATATAATAGTTGTGCTTATAGTATAATCGATCGCTACGTGTGGGACACGTTGATCCTACAATTAACTACGGCTGGGACATAGTGTATCCTAGCCTTTGGATTGAAAACCGTTTTTCAAAAAAATCCCAAATGCTAAATTTACCTTATTTATGACATACACTCTTAGAGGGAAAAAAATAGACGCACCGAGAAGATATAAAGCAAATTGGACACAAATTGATATGCATGCAGGTTTCGACGGAAAATGCAAAATTTTACATTTTGGCTGCCAATGAATGAACGATTGTTGCTACAATGTATCTGATCTGCGCAACTGGCAGGATATTTAAGAGGAGAAATTACGATTCCAGGTCATAAATTCTTCACGAATTTCATTCCGTGTACTCTGGTAGACAGTAGCTATGTCTCGCATACAGGTGTGCGAACGATATGCGCAGATGTCAGAATTTGAGAGGGGTCGTGTAGTTGTGTTTAAAGAAGCCGGTTGGTTTTATCGGCGAATAGCTCGACATTTGAGCAGGAGCGATGTCACTATTAGACGATGTTGGCAGGAATGGGTGAACCATGGCCGCACCCAGAGTCAAGAAGGAAGAGGTAGGCCTAGAGAAACGACAGAACGTAAAGACCGAGCAATCGTCAGAGGGGCACTCCCAACCCCAGATGCATCATTATCATCGATTTGTACGTGCAACTAGTGCTTCTGTGACCGTAAGGACCATTCATAGATTGCTCCCAGAAAGGGGGCTGAGGTCACGGCGCCCCTTGCGCTGACTACCATTGTCCAACCTCTGTACAACGTCAAGCCCGTTTGCAGAGGTTTCGGGCTCATTCGCACTGGAATTTCACTGACTGGAGTAGAATAGTCTTCAGTGATGAGTTCCGCTTTGAACTGAGCCCCGATGACCAGCGAAGGCGAGTCTGGAGACGCCCCGGATAGCGGTGTGATACCAACCTGTCTTCCGGGCTGACAGGCCGACAAACAAGGAGTGATGATCTGAGGTGTCATTTAATTTCATAGTAGGACCCCTTTGGTTGTCATCCGTCGTAACCTTACAGCACAGCGGTACGTCGACGAAGTTCTAAGGCCCGTTGTGTTGCCCTTCATGTCACAGCAACCTGGGCTTACATTTCAGCAAGATAATGCCCGTCCCCACACTGCACATGTTTCTACTGCTTGCCTTGGTGCTTGCTGAACATTACCTGGCCAGCAAGGTCGCCGGATCTCTCTCCTATTGAGCACGTGCATTATGGGCAGGGCCCTCCAACCAGCTCGGGATATTGACAATCTAACGCCAGTTGGACAGAATTTGATACTATAGTCCTCAGGAGAACATCAGCAACCTCTGTCAGTCGATGCCAAGTCGAATAACTACTTGCATAAGCGCCAGAGGTGGACAAACGCGTTACTGGCTTTTTCACTTTGTGAAGCTCTATCACTTCAATAAATAATCCAATTTTTCTCTAACTGTAATCATTTGTTTTTTTGTACATGTACATCACTTCTACCGATTTTCGTCCCATTGGGATAACTCCTTCTTGGTGAGCCATTTTTTTTTTTTTTTTTTTTTTTTTTTTTTGTTTTCTAAGAGTGTATTTTGTTCACCTGGATAGTAAACGGGGTAAAATTTGTTTTTAAATTCATACTCAAAGGTTTAAATTAATCAAATCAATCATTATGCTCCGTTCTTTTGAGGAGTTGAATGCTTGTAAATATTACAATATCTTGTAATGCCTGCATTTAAACATGCATGATCGCAATGAACTGTTTGCAAGAAATGAGCATAAAAATTCTTGTATATATATATATGAGAGTTCCTTGTATTCCTCAAGAATGAGTGTTTTGTTTGAAGCTTATACGTATAACTGGTTACTATACTAATTTATAACTCACTGACTGATGTTACCTTTCTTTAGAAACTTCGGCCTTGATCCTGGGAAGAGAAGGAAGCAAGACAGTTTTGCACTTCAATTTCAACTCATTACCTTGGACAGATGGTCGTAAATCAGGTAACTACACATGGAGAGAATTAGCGGCTTTCTTTCCATATCCAGTCAGAGTGGATCCGTTCAGCAATTATGTATTTAAAATTAATTACAGTATGTTGCATGTCAAGTGGCCGAAAACGCTTCAAGAAAAACCGGTCGTGTACACAGACGTTGGACCTCTTGGTTTTACTTCACTCTCTCAGTGTTATGGTATTACTCAGCTGTTTCTATTACCAGCGACGCCTTCAAGGAGAATCTGCAACGATATCGAGTCATAATGTTATAAGCTTTACCAACCATTTTGTGCAGTTATACGGGTACTAGCTGAAACATATCTATGCAGCGCTAAAGCTATTAAAGAAAAGTCCAATTTCGTTATGCATTTTAAATGAGACAAGTTTGTTACAAAGATGTTTATAGTTTTAATTGACGCTTACAATGAAAAATATTTAGACGGAAATTCACTATGTGAAGAGTTTATCACACCTGAGACTATATAAAATTACGAAAATGACTTCACTAAAGTGAACATATGTTAATTGTTTAACTTGTGCTTTATAAGTGACTTGAGTGGTTAACACTTTCCATGGAAAACTTTGTAAAAAAAGAGAGAATGTGGACTATAGTTTTTAATGGAAGATGGTAATTTTGCATATGGCAAAGACTACAGCTTGCGGACTATGGCCTTTTAATGAAAGGAATGACATTAGCATATGATTAAAAATTTACGATTTATATGAATTAATACAAGTTGTATAAAATTAAGATTTGTGTGCAAATAATTCTCAGATCAAATTTTTTATATACAAGCTAATTATTTATGAATTTTATTTAAGTTTATGCCGGATTTTATGCATGTGCTTAAGTTGTTTCCAGCGAAATGGAATCTGTTTTTATTCAACATTAGAAACTGACTTTTGTATTATCAAAAGATGTTCAAAATTTTGTTAAGGATTCTTCGTTTTAGAAGGGTTTTAATATCACATGTTTTAATTTATGCTTTCATTGTCCTACTCTGGCAAAATTTTACTGTATATTTGGAAGCAATTGTAATATCTTCGTGTTGTTTCTTATGCTGCCTACTTAATTACTTGTATCCAATAATTTCCAGTTATTAAAAAGTTTGAAATTATGATTTTGATTTCATTACTTTCAACGAAGTAGATTTTAATAGATCATTAAAAAGTCTGCATCATGATTTATTTATAACTTAGATATGTTTTTAAATAAAATGTGGTGGATATCCTCACTTAATATCACTTTAAAAATGCAGTAGGGAAATCCATGTCAAATTCTAAAAAGTACTTGCTTTTGAACGCTAAGAGATTCCCGTTTAATTTCCCTACTGAGTTACCGGAATTGATTTAAAATTGAAAAGTCTGGATTTAAATTTCAATAAAGAAAGCGCAAGTTTTACTTTAATTTATGAGATTTTTCTCCCTCCTTCCAGCCTGCCTTCATGGTGTAACGGTAGCACACTTGGCACGTATTCGAGAGTTCCACGTTCGAGTCTCGGCGAGGACATTGAACATTTTTCACATCTTCTGTTTCAAAACCTAATGACTCTACAATGGCGCCCGAACTAAAAGGTGGTGGGCAATACATCATCACCAAGATTTGGCAATTGGGCACCTTAATCCCTTGTCAATTCTTGTGATTCATAAATAAAATTAGTAAAATAAATAAAAGTTTTTTTCAGAAAATCCTTTTAAATATGGATTCGGTTGTTTCTGAAAGTTACTATGTTTCTTTTTAACAGAATATTTTCATTGAATATTATTACACGGAGATGCACATAAGCGAAAAATTTCAAGTGGCTGATTCTTTAGAATTCGTACTAAACCACCTGAAAATGAAATCACTTAAACAACAGATATGTCGACGAGATGAATTATTAAAACATCGATAAACCATTTATCAGTGTAATATTCAATATTTCGTTAAATCCTTTTGTACTATGATAACTAAGGTAGTGTATTTAAAGTGCTTGGCTAAATGAGTACGTTTGCTTTAAAACCTGCGCAGACAATTAAAAAATATCGTATTTATGCTTTCATTTGTCATAGAGCTAGCAGAAAAAAGTGTAGAATTGATAAATAACAGTCAATATCCCAAAGCAGTTATGCACTTTTCTTCACCTAATAAAGAGAAAAAAATATTTTCGTAGACGGTATTTCAAAGCTGATTTAGTAATAGCTTTGTTCTCTTGATTTGAAAGTTAATTTAAGAGAAATTCAAATTTCTTTCTGAATGTTGCTTGAAACATTAATTGCAGGTAATCTCGAAAACTGTAAGACTTGAATGTGTCCATAATAACTTACCTGACTGCGGAAATAATTTTCGTTATTTGCTGTAAAATTCATAAAATGCAAAATTTAATATTTTAACTGGAGATGAATTTTAAAAAACTAATCTTCAGTGCAAAAGAGATTTCTAGATAGAAATCGAACTTTAAGTATTTCATAATTTTAACAGTGTAATAATTTAACAAGCAGCCAGCTCACTAACAATACTTCCAAGTTCCCAGATTTCTACAGCCATTATCTTTCAGCAAGGCAATAATCATGTAATAAGAATCATCTCGAGGAATCATTCACCTAATTTTACTGAGCGAAGGTTAAAACAATCAATCCAGAATTTTAGAAATCTTAGTTCGTGCTGCCATCTAGTAGTCAAAGAGAGAACTAACTTACTTTTATGGTGAATTAATAAACCCGTGTATTTCGGATTAAATCCGTAAAAAAATCCCGATCTTGAACACAAAATTTAGCTATACAATTAATGACAAAAATTTGGATTATATTTGATTTAAATTTTTGGAATGCAGCTTCCGATTTTGAGAATTTTACATTCCTTTGTTTTATTTGTTTGTTTACTATAAAATTTTGTTATAAGTATTACATATACATCAGGCCTTCCCCCCCCCCCGAAAAAAAAGAAAGGCTACAACACTAAATCTTTAATAGTTTAAATAATTTCCTCTGCTTTCTCGTAGTCAATATTTTAAGTTTAATAAATTAAGCTTAAAAATTAATCAAAATGAGAGCATATATTAGTGAGCAAAATATTTTCACACAGCCGATTCCGGTTATATGGGGCGAATATTTGTAAGGAAAATACAATTTAATAAAATGGCAAGGATTTTTAGTTTGTTTTGTAAAGGGATTTGTGATTTCCTGCTTGAGTGAGGTTTACCAATAGCCGAGCGGGTAAGATGACTGAACATAACGACCAGTGTTCAAATCTTGGCCAATGATCTGGGAGTTATCGTGGTTTTCCCCATGCGCAAAGTGAATTCTAACTGAATTCCATTAGAAAATCCTAACGAAGGCAGCTCGTTCCTTAAATAGCTTTAGCGTGCTTTATCTTAATCGGATTTGGGGTCTCCCCATGTCATCTCGACCTTCTGCATGGATTGCGTGTAGTTCTAAGCTAATTAGATTATCAAACAATTTTACTATAACTACCGCTTCAATCCAGCTACGCCATTTCGTACTCTGCCTACGCGACAAAAGGGGCTGAGCTACTCAGCCTTTCGCCGTCCCTTTCGCCGTCGTCATTGAGTGCGTGGACAGCAATGATGGAAGATTGATTATCAGGGACAGCGTGGTTTCTATGGAAGGAAGGACTACAGGCTAGTGAAATCCATCGTCTCAGGGTGTCGTTATGCAGGAACAAAGCACCCTCAAGGCGTACCGGATCCCATTGGTTGGCCAAATTCAGCAGTGGAGTGGAGACCGCAGCCAAAGGTGTCGGCGCGGGACGACCAGTAACATCGCATGCAGCAGAAAATGTGGCAGCAGTGTCCGATTTGATCATGGCGAACAGGGGCCTAACGTTCAACAATATTCAGGAAGAAACGGGGCTTGGGCAAGGAACATTGCAGACGATTGTGCAGGGTGATTTGGAGATGACAAATGTGAGTGCAAAGTGGGTGGACCTCGAACCAAGACTAGGACTACGCCTTGCTTGATAACATGAAGTATGCAGTCAGGGGCCAACATACTGAATTTTCTGCCGAATTGCACGCAATTGTCCACAGGTGGTGCACCAACACCCCCATAGACTGGTTTACCAAAACCCTTCGGGACCTCCAAGCCAGATGGCAGAAGTGTATTGACATGGGTGGGGATTATTTCTAACTGACGCACTATCAATTTTGTGTTAATAAATTTGTATTGCGCTCTGTGACAGCATTTGTATCACTTATTTCTGTACGACCTAAATATCAAATTATCTGCAACGAATTAAAAAATTATCTGCAACGAATTAAAAAATTATCACCACATATGTATGTGAAATAAAATAATTGTGCTTTTACACGCATGCTAAATAAACTACTAACTAATCGTACGGGTTTTATGAAAATGCATATAACTGGAAAATAACATTATACCCCCATTTAGTTGTTAGACGTGTTATTTCGAGACCAATTTATTTGCATGCTGTATTAAGCAGCAGCATTGTAATATCTGAAGCTACAGTTCGTTGAGGAATTTCATGTTACGTAGCGTGCCAAGTTATTCGCATCTTTATATTCTAAACTGAAAAAAATAAGATTATTAGCATCTTTAAAAATTCTTTTATTCAGAGCTCTAAAGGTGACAAAACTAGTTCAATTTTTATAACGGTATCGATGTGGAATTTTCTTATACATTCGTTCAAACGCACGGAGAAGTATGCAGTTTTACTTCAATAATTGGTAGAGCTTCAAAGGGCCTAAAATGTATTGTGTTATACTGGTTTGAAGAATACTCGCATGAGAAAATATTGTATGTCGAAGAAGGGCAAAATGTGCTCAAAGTGACTTGGATAAATCGATTGTTACAAAACATACAGGTGACCAGATAGAACGGATGCTTTCATTGAGAACTGTGAGAGAAATTGTCACACATTTACGTTACACAAGGGAAGAAAAGAGGAATGAAAGTTTAGGAAAACGTCTCATTTTATTGCTGGGAATAAATTCCGAGGTGAACTAAAAATACTTCTTGACCTTAGCTATTCGAACACCTTTAACATTTAGAAATAAAAATAAGATCTAAATGTACACTAGATTTCAAAGATCAGATAAAATGGCATGCAAACTTTTCGTGTTTATTTTAGTTTAAACAATATATAAAGCAGTGGAATATTAAATACTTATACTGATTTAACTGAAAATATATGGAAGCAACTTTTACTAATTTCTTAATCATGTAACTCAAAACCGCATAGTTGAGATTCAATAACTCATTATCATTCCGTTTAAAAATCAGAAGTTTATTCTGATTAATTTTCAGTTTTGTATTAAAAATAATAAATGCTTTAGGTGAAATATTTAAAAAAAAAATGGGAATGGAAGATCCGATTGTTTTCTCAGCATAATGCAACGATGGGATATATAAGAAAGTGCACCTGCATTGTTAGAAAAAAGAAAAGCATATATTGTAATTTATGGAGATACAGGGTGATCAAAAAGTCAGTATAAATTTGAACTTAATAAATCACGGAATATTGTAGATAGAGAGGTAAAAATTGACACACATACTTAGAATAACATGGGGTTTTATTAGAAAAGCAATAATCTGATCAGAAAAGCAATAATTAGCATAACAAATTAAGACAAAGCAAAGATGATGTTCTTTACAGGAAATGCTCAATATGTTCACCATCATTCCTCAACAATAGCTGTAGTCGGTAGCCCAAAGCCAATAATCGCACGGACTGAGGTCTGAAAAAAAAAAGTTTGAAAAATGCATAAAATCATACATTTTTTAAACTTTTTTTTTGGTTCTAATAAAACCCCATGTCATTCTAAGTATGTGTGTCAATTTTTTACCTCTCTATCTGCATTATTCCTTGATTTATTAAATTTTCAAATTTATACTGACTTTTTGATCACCCGGTATATTCGTTCCTGAGAAAGGTTACATTATTTTAGAAAGGTGGCTACAAGCGCAATTAGTGCAATCTTGCAGTCATGCGTGAAAATTTACGTAACGTGGTAAGAATAACAATGTGCCGGATTTTGCATCACACTTCATAATAATAATAAGGTAATAATTTCTAAGGACGAACAACGCTATCCCCCTAGTAATCAAAAAAATGAAAGGAAGCAAAATGTGGAAAATTAGAAACGTCCAGG